GTTATTTTTATACAAATTATTGAATATGTTATATACAAATGCTATATACAAATATGAATATACTTTATATTATGCATTATATATTACATGATAGAGCGTACTTGAAATTTCCCCAACATCAACTAATTTACTGGCCTTTACTGATAAGAGAAAATGCAGCACCAGTAATTTTTATAATGCTTTACTTCTTTTATTGACAGTAGCCGAATTTATTTTTAAACGCATTATAAGAAATGATAAAAAAGATCTGAATTCAAACAATTTCTTTTTGTATTCGGTATAAACTCCACCGCAGACACGTATTGTTGTGTATATTTTAATCCCGGAAAAGGATTTTCAAATCTAAAAAAGGAAAAAAGTAATTGCGACATAAAGTTATAAACGTTTGGTCGTAGAATGGACTATAGATTCCTTTAATTGTAATTTTGTAGGTAAAGGAAGCTAACTTGGGCAAGCATATTAGACTGAGCGCTGACGATCTTCTACCGTTGGTAATCTGGGTTTTAGTACGTGGAAAAGTTGTGGACGCGGAGGTCGAAGCTGAGTACATGTGGGGCTTGCTACATGCTTCTCTTCTGAGTGGCGAAGGCGGCTATTACCTGACAACATTGTCGAGCGCAGTGCACGTTTTAAAGACCTTTAAATCCAATCAGGGCACTACGTCTCCATTAAACGTAAGTAATAAATATTGTTAATTGTATATCTCTTACGAATCGAATTAAGTTAATATGAATAATAAATAATTATTATAACATCTATTTAAACGTAAAGTCATATAGGAGCAATTAATTTCCTATTTATTGTCTTAAAATAAAATGTTTTATATGATTTCAAAGATTGGATATAGCATGTAATATGCGATTAGAACTTACTTCTTCGTAAGAACATATCAAAAAGCAACAAGTATGAGTTGAGATAAATATTAAAAATTGAGGCAATTCGCTTAAAATCATTGTTTCGGATTTGAGTTCTTAAATAGAAAGTTCCATACTAGAAGCAGCTACATTTCTAAATAAAAATAATGTGACAGTTATTATATTTGTATTGTATTTTGAAAATTTAATGAAAAATATAAAGAAAATGTATATTATATATTATATTATCATATTAAATATTTTTATTCCTTCTACAAAAAATCATTAAATTTTATTAAAATTGATGAGGGATATCTTTGTACCTTTTCTTGTTAGTGCTAAAATACTATTTTTAATTATTATACAAATAAAATTAAGTATTTAAGAAAATTTATGAAAATATCAAATTTAATTCGATATTTTTATGGGAATATCATTTTTTTTAGGGATGTGGAACGCCGGATTGTTCATCTGTATTGCGGATTTTAGTACCAGATGAATTGCACGGTTCCTTAAATACTAGAACACTTCCAGTGAGACCCAATATGAATACTAAGGAAATTTGCCGTATTCTTGCGCATAAGATTAGATGCACAAATCCTCAAGATTATGGGCTTTTTAAACTGGTACAAGGAGAAGGTAAGTGCATTTAATGTAGAAATTAATTCAATATGAGAGATATTACATAATAGATCATATATATGGTTCAACTTAACGTCCAAAAAGTAATGACGATGGAATTGTTTGTATTATTTTCATAAAGAAGATCAAGCTTTGACATTATTAAACTTTTTTAATATGTTATGCTATTCTTCTCCCACTAATTTACAGTAGAGAAACTATTGTCAATGCGTAATAGTTTACCAGAAATCATTGTTTAAAATTTTTATGTATCCAGATTATAAGACTGAGTTGCAAGCAATAAGCATAGTCGAGCAGGTTAAACTTACAGAAAGGTGGGCTTTTCAAAATGTTGCAAATTTTGAGCATTTTTACTAAAAGCGTTAAGATAGAATTGACGCCTGCTATAAAGAGTAACACGTTTCATTTATCCTATGAAAAACTCTACTTATGACGTCGTCGTGTCAAAGAACATTATGTTTCCGTTTTCGCCATGAAAATCAATACATTTGAGTTTTGACTTTCGAAAAGTAATACATTTCATTTTATACTATAAATAATAATATGTTTGAACGTTTTGTGACGAAAAGTAGTATGTTTCTTTTTACACGAAAATTAATTAACACGATAACTACGTTCCAATGTTTAATGGCCTTTATAATAGTCGCGAAAAGTAACATATTTCACTTTATATCGCGAAAACTAATATGTTTGAGACTAATATGATTTGGTTACAAAAGTAGTTTGTTTCATTTTATGCCGTTTAATTTTATGAAAAGTAATATGGTTGTGAACTATCCTTTGAGAATTTGATGACTGGCAAAGGTTAGAAGTAGGAATACTTATACCAGTGATTTTATTTTTGGTTCCAAATAGTAAAATGAATACTCCATTGTTATTGTTGCTTTTAGTTGTATATTTTTATTTTTAGTCCATGTTTTTGCAATGTCAAACTAACGTACGTATGGAAAATACAAAAAATTAAAATTTATGAGTCCGTAAGGTTATAAAGATAGAATTCAATGAATGAACAAACGGAAGCGAATGTATGAATGGACATAAGAAAGAAAGAACAAACGAATCAATGAATGCATTAACAAACGAATTAGCGATTAATCGCCTTTCAACGCTGGAATGTATTAGTTTAAAGGCAAATGTGCTACTCTTCGTAGTAAAAAAATGTTCAAACATATTAGTTTTCACAGTATAAAGCGAAATATGTTACTTTTCGCGACTAAATGCGACTAAACATATTAGTTTTCGTAGCGAGAATCGAAACGTGATAATATTCGTCAATTAAATTGAAACGTGCTTCTTTTCGCGGAATGTATAATTCATGTAATATACTGTTTTTCGTAAAACAAATGAAACGTGCTACTCTTCGTAGCAGGCGTCGGAATGTTGTTGCAATCTATAGTTAATATCTTTATACCAAGACAGGAGAAACTCTCCCCCTAAGAAGGGGGTGCAAAGGGTTGCCATATTGAGTCAAAATGGTAAATTTTTTCTTAAAGAAAAAAAAAATCTTTATAATAAAAAAATCCTTTTTTACAGAATTCTAACTTCCAGACACTTCCCACTACTAAGAAGTGCAAAATTAAAAAATTTTTTAAGAAATTACTGATCCACAGAATAACCCTAATGAGTAATTGTTTCATGATATCTTAAGATTGTACTTTAATAGTTAATCTTAAATATAAGAACATTGACTGTGAATATCGGCCAAAGATATTTAGATTGTTAATATTCTACTCCCCCCCCCCCCACATAATATTCTAGTCAATTAAATGCCGTCATGTTCAAGGGAAAATTATTGCGCATTTATGTTACCCGTGTTAAGCGCCAATTAAAAATAAAGATCTCAATTCTAACTATCTCTTGGCCAAATTTAATTAGAAGAAAATATTTTAATGTAGGACATCAGCAATTTAGATATCTAAGGCTGGTATTCAGATAGTCCATCTTTATTTCGAGTAATTTATTTTAAGTAATGTCTTAAAATTCGAATACAGTTCTGTTTATGGTGTCTTAAAACTACTTAAGACAGCCTTAAATATAGATAAATATCGTCAATAAACATTGGTCTATGATCAAATATATAGACAAACGGCTAAAATGCTGGGGCTTCGAATTTTAGTTTTTTTCTGCATATTTAAAAATTTACAATCAAATAAATGTAAGTTAATAAATAAGTAATGAATAAATAAATAAATTTTATTAACTTATTAAATAAATTTTATCAATTTATGAATGTATTAGGACCACTGAAAATTCCATATAGAAGTTGAATCATGTATAAAATTGATTATATTTTTCGTTTAATATAAAACATTATAGAAAAGTTTTTTTTGAGCAATAATAAAATTTATAAATAATGAGATAACCAAATAAACATTTTTATCTTATTTTAATTATTGATAATAGTTTTTGCATTTAAATATATCTTGCAATTAGCGAAAATATACGTTTAATCTCGTTTGTTACATATCTATTTTTATCATGTTTATCATTGTTCTTACAATATTAACATAAATATAATTATTACATTAATTATTGATAATACTTGTCAACTAGTCGTTAACGATGAATTAATTATATAAAATTGTATAATATTTTGCATAGTTATTTTTAAATTATTGGGTCGTCCGGAAAGTCCGTGCGTATTTTCCGGACGACCCAATATAATACCTAATTAATTTGTAATAATTTACTTTTTGTCGGAAATTGTTTTAGAAACGTTGCTCGGAGATCATGAATGCCCACAGGAACTCTCTCACTGCCTTTTTGCCTATAAACGAATCGATGCCAAGATAGCATGGCCCAAGACCAGCTCTTAAGTATATTCTACCAATTTAAAATTAATTTCTAGATATCTCTGTCATAAGCCAATATTTTTCAAAATATAAATATTATACGTCTTGAAAACAGAAATTTATTGAAAACAAATTCTATAATATTTTTTCAGCAAAAATGTCTCATTCAAAATTTTGGATATTGAGTCATTTAATATTATTTATTGTTCAAGAATTTTTGATAGTACTATTTCGATAGAAATTCTCTTAGCATTGAATGAAATGGTCATCAAAGAAAAGATATAAAATAAATTTCTAATTAGTTCACAGAGATATTAAACAATACGATGTATAATTGTTGATTTTTTTATATTTTAATCCTCAGTAGATAAATACAGTGTAATAACTTGGGTTCTATAGAACATTAAAAATAATAAAAAAATATAATATAAAATTATATCTTTTTAAAAATTAATATTCATTTTTCATACTCTTTTACACGATAGAATAAAGTAATGATAAGTATAGTATAAGATTTTCTTATTACCTAATGTCTATATACACACATAATAAGTAATGATGTATGTCTTATTCTCTTCAAGTAAATTAATTTTTTTAATCTCTATAATTTTTTAATCTTGATGATTCTTTTTAATGAAATCGTGTAAACGTGTAAAAGTTAATAATAAAAATGAAGTATATAGATGTTTGCGATTTCTAACATCTCAAATTTAATTTTTTTATTTAGCAAAATATAAAGATATGACACCTACTGAGGGTTAACATATTCATTTATACTAATTGAAAATATTGATGTCAGCTATAGCATTATTGTAAACAAAATTATTTGTAACCAAAGCATCAATCGAATCGACGGAATTGACCATTGCTCAAATTGCATCAAATGTAGAAACAAAAAAACGTACAATTGTATACATGTGTGTGCGAAAAATTATAATTTTAAAATGCATATACATTTACAATTATACACGAATTATACAGGATACAC